ACAATTCCATCAGAGGTCAGACAGACCTGGAAAACCAAAAAATTGGAGCACTGGGAGCATCTGCTGTAACAAAGTCTTCATTAAAAAAATAAAGAAAAAAATATTACAATTTCAGCTCCAGACTGGCTTCCAAATGTGAAGTCACACTTTATTTACAAGAAGCGGCAGCCAAAAAGATCTGGGTGAGACATAGTTTGTTTTATTTGCTCAAAGTTTTGGTATGTTTTAGGTTATTAATCTTTTATTGTTTCTCTCTCTCTCTCTCTTTCTGCTGGCGAGTTAAGTAATCTGTTAGGTGACGCCTGTTAGCTGCTGCTCCTTCCTCACGCCTTCATCTCCTTCATCATCATCAGATGGAGAGTTCAGGGTGAAAAGCTGATTTGTGTTTTGGTCCCAACTTCTACTGAGAACTGTTCATCACAGCAAAGTTTAGTTAAAAAAATAAAACAAAATACAAAAAAATTGACTAATTTGTTAAGAGGAAATTTTAGGTGTTTGTGTCGTTTATTTCGTAACTTAAAAAAAATGAGTTTGTAAAGAGTGGTGACATGAATGCTTTGGACGTTCAGCTTTTAGGTCAGACTTAAGTATTTTCAAAGTTCACATTTTAAACTAAATAATCTTCGTCTCTTCCGTTAAACAAAATTCGGCATTGTGATGCACGCGCAACGCTGACAACATACAACAATGAACCGACCAATTGTGTGTGTGTGTGTGTGTGTGTGTGTGTGTGTGTGTGTGTGTGTGTGTGTGTGTGTGTGTGTGTGTGTGTGTGTGTGTGTGTGTGTGTGTGTGTGTGTGTGTGTGTGTGTGTGTGTGTGTGTGTGTGTGTGTGTGTGTGTGTGTGTGTGTGTGTGTGTGTCTGCTCTGTCTTCTCGATCCCCAGCGAGTCGTGGAGGATGGCTGCTTATACTGAGCCAGGATTCTCTGGAGGTTTCTTCCTGTTAAAAGGGAGTTTTCCTCTCCACTGTCGCTTTATGCTTGCTTGGTATGAGGATTGCTGTATAGTCACTGACACTAGTCAGTGACTTGATGCAATTTGCTGGGTTCCTTATATAGGACACATTATTTCTGATTGGCTTAATGAACTGACCTGAATTTTTATTATGTGAAGTGCCTTGAGACGACTCTTGTCGTGATTTGGCGCTATATAAATAAACTTGAATTGAACTGATGGGATGAAAGTAACCCATTTAAAGAGTGTATTTGAGTTTAGTGATAAATTATATTTTAATATTCTCAAATAGGAGTCCTCGACATTCCTTCTCACTCTGCAGGCTGTTGACTCAGTCTTTAGTTTAATTTCACGTAGAAATGCTTCATCTCTCTTCATCTACACTGGCTGTTTGTCACTGAGTCGATGAGTCCAGATGTTGACTTCCTGTTACAGATGTTGGATCATCAGGTACGGGTTGGTCATCTCTCTCCTGTTCTGCTCCTTCTATCAGAAGTTTGGGCTGATTCTCCTGTGGATTCTGTGAAAGGGTTTGTGGAGAACATCTGGGTGAATGCTGCGGAGGGAGTCGAGCAGAGAGCTGCAGCTGCTTCTTCTTGTCGTACTCCTCTGCACTGATCATCGGTACCAGAACTTTGGTGGTGTTATTAAACAAGTTGTAATCCACTTTGTAGTGCTTCCTGCTCACTCTGATCATCTCCTGGAACAGATGACCCCAGAGGATCTCGTCAGGCGTGTAGGACGTGCGGGTCTGATGCAGAATGCCCGTGGAGTCGTCCGTGTATGTAAAGGACACCACCAGCTCAATGTTTGCTTTTCGTAAATCGTCCAGACTCATCTTGTACAGAGGGCTGCCGAGTTCTATCCTGTGGCAGATGGTCGTAGGTGTAACCAGAGTGATGTCCCTCTGCTGGATGGCCAGGTCTTCCATACCCATGTCTACTTTCCCAGTCTGGTGCATTTTTGAGTGAACAATCTGAGCACAAGCTGTCCCCTCCACCAAATGGTTCCTCCGGAAGTCCCCTATCCTCCAAGAGAGACACAGAAAACCATCCCTAAGGTTGATGACAGCATGGCTGCTGAAGCCCACGGTCTGCGCCCTCTTTCGGGCTGACGCCATCTTGGAGACTACAATGCCAATGACGAAGGTGTCAATGAAGCAGCTGATGACATCCTGTATGGTGACGACGATGATGGCAACCATGCAGTTCTCAGACATTCCTCTGAAGCCGTAGCCAATAGTGGTTTGAGTTTCCAGTGAAAACAGGAAAGCAGCTGTGAAGCTGCGCACCTCAAAGACGCAGGGCTGCGTGTTGTGGTTCCTGATGTCTCCGTGCATCAGAGCAATGAACCAGAAGAGGATACCAAAAAAGAGCCAGGACAGGATGTAAGACAAAGCAAAGATCAGCAACATCACCCTCCACCTGATCTCCACCAAGGTGGTGAAGATGTCCATCACAAACATCAGCCACTCCTCTGGAACGTGGCGAAACTTCACGTTACCGCTGCCCTCCTTACGGATGTAACGGGTTTTCTTTGAGTGGTGTCCATTTTCCGTTTTCACACTGAACTCATCAGAAGGCCTCACTGAAGAATAATGTTTGTACATCTTCTAAAGTCTGTAGAGGAAAGAGAAATGAAAGTTAATTGTTTTGTGATTTGTTCAAATTCTGGGTGGCACTTACAGACATAAAATTCATAAAAAAACATCATTCTGATGTACTAAAGTCTTCAAAGATGGGGGAATTTCATGTGGGAACCATTGAAGCTCTCCTCCTTATGTATGCATCAGCAATCAGTTTCTTAAAGACTCCGAGAAACCAGAGGATGAGTGGACTAGAGCCCATCTTCCACTAGCTAGTCGGTTGTATGGATCAGGTAAACTTCCTCATCCATCCATCTGGCTGTCTGCCCAGGGTCAGGGGTTAGCCAGCTTTGGGAGAAAGGAGGGGGTCTTCCTGACGAGCGCCTGAGGTTTGGCTCCTAGGATTCACGGTCAGGTATACAGTGGGTTGCGAACATTTGGGCAGCCTTGTTAATCTTCAGGATTTTCCTGTATAAATTGATTTTTACGATAAAAATTTTCAGGTAAATATATCATATAGGAGACACACACAGAGGTATTTGAAAAGTGAAACAAAGTTTTTAGGATTTACATAAAGTGTGTATTGGTTTAAACAAAATTAGACAGGTGCATAAATTTGAGCTCTGCTGTCATTTTACTGATTCGAAAACCTTTAGAACTGATTGCTGGAACTCAACGTAGGTTTGGTAAGCTCAGTGACCATTGACCTCCATACACAGGTAAATCCAGCAACTCTCACATGAGCTGTAAACAAAGATTGTTCACCATCGTGGTTTAGGGGAATGATACAGAAAGCTGTCTCAGAGATTTCAGCTGTCTGTTAGGAACAAATTGAGAAAATGGAAGACCACAGGCTCAGTTCAAGTTCAGGCTCAAAGTGGCAGACCAAGAAAAATCTCAGATAAACAGAAATGAAGAATGGTGAGAACAGTCAAACATTAGAACAGTCTTCCATTATCTGGGCGACTCTCCACGTCAGTAGAGGTTTTTAAGAAGGCGCTGAAGACCCATTATTGTAATCTGGCTTTTAAAGCTGTGTGTTAACTGATGTTGTTTTGTATTTTGCAGTTAAAAAAATTTTTTTTGGTTTCCTATATATTCTTTGTTTTTATCTTTTTTAGTTTAGTCTTGTTCAGCACCTTGGTGACATAATATATGTCTGTAAAGTGCTTTTATAAATAAAGGTGATGATGATGATGATGATAATACTGCCGTCATGGTGTGCCATTGTCGCATGGCAATGAGGGAAATTTGCGGCATTCGTTCTACCACGCTTGGTAATAATATTACCGCAACGCCAGACTTGTGAGTGCATATTACTCCTTGGAGCAGCAGAGGGTGGTGTCATGATCACATGGGAGTTACTGCCGAGTACCTGCCACAGTGAAAATGTAAGAACAACAGTAAGTTTCACTTTTTAAACAGATCAGCTGAGATGGTAAACTGTAGAGATGCAGAGCTCTGGGAGCTTCTCTTCGTCAGAGTTTTAGCTCAGATCCCTGACCATTGAAGGGGTCTGTGGAGGACAGGCACCTTTAGGAGTAGGGTCGTGAACAAAACTTAGTGAGCGCAGCTTCAATCACAATAAAAAGCAAGATAAACAGAAGTCCGTGGCAGCTCAGAGTCTTTACACAGAGTCTCAGTGTCCTTACAGTGAATATACCAAAAATATGTAATATGCGGTTGTTTTTTCTTGGCTCTAGTGCTCAGCCAGTGTCTACTTGCACTGAAACTGCTCTGTTAGCAGTGACGGAATCCTTAAAAGAAGCTAGAGCAACTGCCAAATCCTCAGTGCTAATCCTGCTCGACTCATTGGCTGCATTTGACTCTGTCAACCACGGATTCCTTTTGTCCACACTCTCTAGCATGGGCATTAGAGAGAAAGCACACGCCTGGTTTGAATCGTACCTCAGAGGACGATCATTCAGTATCTTGGCTTGGACAATCCTCTACCGTGCACCATCTTGCCACAGGAGTCCCCCAGGGCTCTGTACTAGGACCTCTTCTCTTTGCCATATACACCACCTCACTGGGTGAGATCATTCGATCACACGGCTTCTCCTCCCACTGCTATGCAGACGACACCCAGCTCTATCTGTCATTTCCATCGGATGACCACACTGTCTCTGCACGAATATCAAACTGTCTCTCTGACATATCAAAATGGATGAAATCCCACCGTCTCCAACTGAACTACTTGTGATCCCAGCAAAACCATCCATACAGCACAACATCTCAGTCCAAAATGACTTCCTATCTCTGGCTCCTTCATAGGCAGTTCAAACTCTGGGTGTTGTGATTGATGAACACCTGACCTATCATGTCTGTTGCTCGTTCATGCCGCTTTGTGCTGTATAACATACGAAAGATCAGACCATACCTAACACAACATGCCACCCAGCTCCTGGTGCAATCTACTGTCATCTCCCGCCTCGATTACTGCAATGCCCTTCTAACTGGTCTTCCAGGCTGTACTGTGAGACCTCTTCAAATGATCCAGAACACAGCAGCGCGTCTGGTCTTCAATCAGCCAAAAAGAGCACACGTCACCCCTCTGTTCATTGAGCTCCACTGGCTACCGCTAGCAGCACGCATCAAATTCAAATTGCTAACACTAGCATACAAAGTCCGAGATGGTACGGCTCCCATCTACCTGAATCCTCTTGCAGAGGCTTACGTCTCGGCCCCGGCCGCTCCGGTCATCACAGGATCGTCGGCTAGCAGTGCCTACACCACGCTCAGGACAATCCAGACTCTTCTCATGCATCGTTCCACAAATGTGGAATGACCTTCCAAGCACTACCAGAACAGGGGCTTCATTCTCAAATTTCAAGACACTCCTGAAGACCCTGCTCTTCAGAGAGCATCTTCTAAACTAGCACCCTCCCTGCACCCATCCCCCCTCTCTACTGTCCACTCCTTATTCCTACGCTCAAGTTGTTGTTGTTTTTGTTTATGTTAGCCTCAAGGGTAACATGCCGATTATCACTTGTAAGTCGCTTTGGTCAAAAGCGTCTGCTATACATAAACATAAACATACTTAATATAGCATAGACAAGACAACAACCCTAAACACTGCTCAACATCTACTAAGGCATTCATGCAGAGGAACAAGTACATTCTGAAATGGCCCTCTCAGTCCCCAGACCTGAATATTATTGAAAATCTGTGGTGTGAGTTAAAGGGAGCTGTCCATGCTCAGAAGCCCTCAGACCTGAATGAACTAGAGATGTTTTGTGAAGAAGAATGGTCCAGAATACGTTCAACCAGAATCCAGACTCTCATAGGAAGCTACAGGAAGAGTTTAGGGGCTGTTATTTCTTCTAAAGGAGGAGCTACTAAATATTGAGTTAATTTATTTGTTGTAGTGTCCAAACGTATGCACCTGCCTAATTTTGTTTAAACAATTATTACACACTTTCTGTAAATCCTATAAACTTTATTTAACATCTCAAATATCACAGTTTGTATCTTCAAAATTATATTTGCAACATTTTTTTGAGAAACAACCAATGATTTATACAGGAAAAATCCTGAAGATTAACAAGGTTGTCCAGAATTTTTCAGCCCACTGTAATGCAAGCTGGATGGCAGGTGAGGGAGGGGCCTGGGCCTGCTTATTTTGCCTAAGTTCTTTTCATTGTGCTGGAAATGAATTGGAATTATGGAGACAACATGAAAATGTATAATTTCATGATTTTACAGTGTTAACATAAATCCATGTTCTGGTCACAGACCAGCAGTCTGATCCCCGCAGAGCACCTGCAGGAGTTCGATAGTTTTGAGTTGAAACATGAGAAACATCATTAAGAAGTTTAATCATTAGACCTATTAGAGGAAAACATAACCGGCCAGTGTAATAAATGAATAATCATTTGTTATTTTAAAAGAAAATGCTCAAAACCTGTTTGCACACTCAGCCGTTAGATCTAGTTTCATTCTTTTTTTACAGTGCTTGATGTTCACAGATTGATCCGTGAGGACAAGTCTGAAGATGACACCTGGAGCTCAGACACATACATGTGTGTTTTCAAAAGTTTGCCATTCATCAGCCTTGTCTGTAGATGCAGTTTGTTGGTTTTAGTTTAAGTCATGGTGAGACGAGAATTTTCTGTCATATCAGACAAAAACAGGATGCCATCAATGGAGCCCGAATCCTAAACTTTGTGTCTGCTAAACTGAAATCAACTGTCTCAAAACTTCACTGAAATGGAAATAAAGATTCTTTACATATCATCAAAGCTCTGATATACATCAGACTAATTTTTTGTGTTTTTCTGATGCTCTCATAAAGATAATAGATGTTCACATTATCAAATGAGAGTTGGATTCCACCAAGGCTGCCCTTTGTAAGAGATTCTGTTCATAACTTTTATGGACAGAATTTCTAGGCATAGCCAAGGTGTTGAGGTGATCTGGTTTGGTGGCCTGAGAATCAGGTCTCTGCTTTTTGCAGATGATGTGGACCTGTTGGCTTCATCAGAACGTGATATCTGGCTTTTGCTGGAGTGATTCACAGCCGGGTGTGAAGTAACTGGGATGAAAATGAGCTCCTCTAAATCTGAGACCATGGTCTTGAGTCAGAAAAGGGTAGAATGCCTTCTCCAGATCAGGGATGATGTCCTGCCCCAAGTGGAGGAGTTTAAGGATTTCAGGGACTTGTTCACGAGTGAGGGAAAGATGGAACGCCAGATCGATAGGCGGATTTGTGCTGTGTTTGCAGTGATGAGGGCGTTGTGCCGATCTGTCATGGTGAAGAGAGAGCTGAGTCAGAAGCCAAAGCTCTCAATTTACCGGTCGATCTACGTTCCTCCTCTCACCTATGGTCACGAGCAGTAGCGGTTTTAGGCACGGGCAGACAGGGCAGTTGCCCGGGGCGGCATTTTTTCATGACACAAAAGGGGCGCACAAGCGCTGAGTGAAAAAAAAAAAAAAAAAAGGAAATCTGCGCCGCACCGAGGTTTTCTATTATCTGTCATATGACAGTGTCTGGATTGGAAACAGCAAGTTGGCGCCCCCTGCAGCTGCAGGCGC